CCCCCCCCCCCCCGGAGAAAATTTCTGAAAGAAACACTGTTCATACAGAGTGTGCGGGTCGTGCCGCATAAAAAAAGAGCCAGAGGACAGCATTCGGCCCATGAGCCTACGTTTTCACAATCCTCTTGCTTGTCGGACACTACAGGGCAGTTAAGTTTTATTTAGTTTTGTTTTTACTGTTGTTTGTTCGCTGTAGAAGGCTTCTTGTCGACACATTCGTTGTTTAGTTGCGTCCTTTTTTCATGCTTTTCGTATATTTTCCCCGATAATTTCCTTAAATTTTCCGACACTTTTCCCACAAGATGGAGAATGATTCAATAAGGAAGAGTCCCAGGACAACGGTTATATATATTTAAAAAAAAAAACAAAGTTGAAATTCGGACCTGGAAAAGAGTGAGAGCTTGGGTTTATTAAAAACAATATTTAAATTATTATTATTCTGTTTGTAAGACAAAGTTTTGTATCAAATGGAAGATAATTGAATGGACTATGTATTTGTAAAATTGCTTCTTCAGTTTAACTAAAATAAACTACCACAAATGACATCTGAATAGCATTTATTATTATGGGATCTGGGTCTGAATAGCGGCTAAAATACTTTTAAAATACTTTATATTAACTTCGCTTTTGTTCATGGCTGGTTGGCATGAAATCTTAGGGCAGCTAATTGACCCACGTCCCGAAATAAAATTCCAGATAACTGCGCTAAAGGAGATTCTTTTAAACAAAAATGCGTTTCGTGCGTAATTGTCGTAGTATTTTCTTTTGTTTTTTTTTTAAAAATATTTGGTGAATAAATCTGCGGTGTGGGTCATTATAATATTCAGTGCTTTTTTTTGTAAAAAAAATAGGTGCCGGTACTCAGTGATGGATTGCCTAACTTTTAACTACCAGTTCGCACCTCGATGCAAGCTAAATCACAACTGCAAAGATGCACTTTTAAAATAAATCAATTTTAACAAATTAATAATATAATAAATTAATAATAAACGTTAATAATAAGCGTTAAAATACAAGAAAAGTAATAATTTTTTCCCCACATTGAAAAAGGTGCCGGTACGCCGTACCGGTGCGTACCGGCACAAAAAAAGCACTGATAATATTAATATAGTTCAGGGGCGTGAAAAAATGTGCGGTTGTGAGCCTTAGAAAGGGGTGGAGGGGGTGGGTCGGGACGGACACAAATTGGGATTCTTATAAAGTGCGTTATTTGTATGTTTTGTCAAATTTTTAGCTCCACCCCCATTGTTCAATATTACATTTTATAAAGGATTTATACGAACAACTTTGACTTTGTTTTATGGGTTGTTTGATTTGTTTTATAAATACCTCACATATACTAATATCATAATATATCAATATCATGTAGGCGTAGGCCTACACATGCAAACTTGTTCAATTGTCTATTTTAGTATTTGATATTTTATAGCCTCGTTATATTTAGGTATATGCACTTAGATTGTATGCATGGTTAACAGAGACAGGAGGGTTTTTTTTAAAAAAAGGTAATGGAGAGACAACATTTATTGTCTTGATGTTTTTGATTGGAGAAGATGATCCCAATTTCGTCGAAACTATTATAATCCAACAGCTGCTTAGATCTGACAGTCCCACAGCCCACTTCCTCATTTACGCAAAGATGGCGACTACGGGAGTCTTACCTTTTGTGAGGGGCATTGACCTTACTCACAATGATTTTTCGGTAAAATATAGATTAGGGTTAATGTATTTATTTTGATATAACTTAAGAAAGCATTGAGCGGGCCTTTGTTTAAATTTAAATAACAACCACTATTATACCAATGACCATATATACCGGGACTACCCTCATAATTACTTAATATAAGTTAATGACTAACTAACTAATGACATGACTAATGACTTAATGAATGAAGAGTCAATAGTACAAATTTATTAGTATAAGTATAGTCGGTAAAAGTGCAGTTCAGGTGCGTATATTATTTCTTAACGCATTTCGTATTTAAAATTTTTTTTTGTCATGTAAACTTACGTGTATTCTTTAATAATTAAATACAGGCAGTTATAGTTAACTAATTCTGAATTATTAATCGCATCTTTTCTTTTTATTTTACTTCTAAAGAGTCTTTAAACATCCCCCAACCAAAGTGACACAGCCCCATTTGTTTGTATTTTTCTTTTCACCCTATGCCAGATTTTTAGCCACCTATAAGTTAGTATGCTAAACGAAATTTTAAAACTGTAAGCATATTCCCAAAAAAGAATGAAATACTAGATTTTTTATTACGCGCAAGAGCCCCCCCCCCCCCAATTTTCTTTTTTTTTTTCCCGCAATAGCCCCCCCCCCCCCAACTTTCTTTTTTTTTTTCTCTCTCAGAGCGCTCGGAATATAGGGGTTGTCCTTTGAAGTCGGGGGAGACGGGGGATCTTTGAAGTTGGGGGAGGCGGGGGAAGGGGGATTAGAAGTGGATCACTGACTAAGGCAGTGGACACACACGTCATCATTGTCCTGGACCTGGTGTGAAGCTGAAAAAAGAAAAGGTTGTACGAATACGTGCCAATGTGTGATCACGTGTCCACTTTAAAAAAAAATATATTAAATACTAAATTCATTCCAGTTGTGTAACCCTTGAGGTTATGGTTTTGCTTTAGCTTATTCTCGCCTCTTTAATCTGTATAGTCCCAAGAAAATTTTTGATAAATTAATAATACAAGAATGCATTTTAGCAAATACCTAAATTAATTTGTAACATTCTACACTTAATTGGAAAGCAATGGAAGAGATGCTAGTTAAAAAATTTAGGTGTCACTTAACCTTACAACCATCATGTGAGCCCAGCAGTCTGGGGCTTAAAGATGTAATGTGGACATTGTTTTAATCATCATCTTTCAATGCCAGGTGGGGAGGACAAACCAAAAAGTGGCTTGGGGCCCCAAAAATATGAGTGACGACTCTGCTTGACCTGCTTGTGTTATGCAAATATTTTTTTATATTACTAAATAGTAATGGGCTTTTATTTTTTAATTAAACCTTTTTAGGGGTTAACTACTTCACCCGACTGGTACTGACCTACTTTTTTTGCCATGTATAGCCTCAGTACCGGCTATTATTTTGCTAATTATTCCCTGTGGCCCAGACATTATTTTGGAGTGGGCCAAAATTTGTTCTTCAAACTTTTCATTGGCAATGGCACACTTGGGGATTCTGTTGCTAGCACAGTGTCTAGTCAATCTTATTAAATCAATATCTACTTTGGCACTAGATCTAAAACCTGTAAAACCTACAGGCTCCTGTAAGCTTAAATTTTGAACTATAGTAGGCCTATTTCCTTCAACAATTTCATCCCCTCTTCCTCATCAGGATCAGAATCATGTAAGAAATAGTGCTAGGTCTTAGGCAGCGTCATGGAAACAGCAAACACAGATCCGCACAAAAAACTCAGTACTTGGTCTATTTTCATAATTTAAAAGGCACAATACAATTCAACTATTCCCCTAACGAATAAACATTCTGCCCAAGACTGTGGTGTAAGGGTATCTCCTCGTTTTTGTGATTATATTAGATACCCCTTTATGTGGCAAATAGACGTGCTTGCCCACAGGGAAAAAAATTGGCTGCTGAAAAAAGACGCGCTTGGGCCACAGAGAAAATAGTAGGTCACTGCAAAAAACATGCCCGGTACTATATGGGTTAATTAATAAATGAAATTTAAAAAAAAAAAAAAATTCTCCAACACAAAAAAGCACAGCTAAAATCATATTGCATATTTAAGAAAACACAAACGCTTTTGATTTAACAATAATTGATGAAAAGTTTTCCTTTGATCTTGCCCAACATACATGGAATCGAGTACTTTTAAAATTATGATAATAGCTATATTTTTTAAAGCATAATGCCATCATACCATTTATAATTAACACCTATCCGTACTTTAAAAGTCATGCTTTTATGATGAAATGTAGTTTGAAAATAGATTGCAATTGTTTGATACTTAGCAAGAACTATTATTAAAATTGTAGCCCTTAATATTAGTGTAAAGGTATTTTAATATGGTGTTATTAAACTATTCAAGTCTATAAACTTGTGAATGTGCAAAAAAACCAAAAAAACAACAAAAACTATTTATGCGAACAAAAGGAAGTAATACTTCGCTTTATAATCATTAGTGGCCCGCACGATATTTATAATTGAATAGTGTAAGCCTCTAACAAGATTTACCTAAATGTACGGATCATCAAATATAATGAGGGTAGGGATACTTCATAGGCTCCACTAATTGTAATCGGTTAAGGGCACCAGTTACTATTCTATTTAAAACTTTTATAAAAATTGAAAATTTAGTTATTTTTAATTTTTAACAAATTTTTTGTTTTTATTTTTATTGTTGTTCACATTTTTTCTTGGAGGGGAGAGCACTGCTTACCTGGAGAGATGCCTGAAATAAACACTGCTCCTATCTTGACCGGTTAACTCCTAAGCCTAAGTTATTAATATTAGTATTACACTTGCTAATTACTAGAATTAGGGGCTGTCCATAAATTAAGTCATGCAAATTTTGTCAGTTTTTTTACACCCACCTCCCCGACACAAATTGAATGTCACAAACCTCTGCGCCTCCCCACCCCCTTATGAAAATCCCTCTGTCCACTACTGTTCTTTACAAACCCTAAAAAAAAATCACAATTTTCATACTACTAGAAGTAGCATAGTTATAGCTAAGAAAAAAGGGATCAACCTCTAATGAAAGAAAAAAGACTGATAATTTTTTTTAAAAACAATTTATAAGTTGTTATGCACTGCCTTCTATAGTGAGAAATTAATCTCTTGTTTTAAGTTATGGCTCGTTCTAAACAGTGCATAACAAAGGACGATATCTATCATATGGGAAAAACAACAGCAAAATACGACACTCAAAACAGTACTAATTACAATTAATACGATTTAGTTAGTTATCTATATAATTACAAAATAAAAGAAATATTATTAAAAATTCATCAACTTACAGAGTATGATAGGTCTTGTACCGGTACACACTTAATACAATGTGCCAATTAATAATGTACAATGATGAATGTGAATAAACACATATGAGTACACACAGAATAATACACTTGTCTGGTGAAGTGAAAAATATCTATCTGAATCTCTGTCCCTCAATGTTCTCTGAACCTCTTATATAGGCAGTGTAAGACGCATTCCATTCTAGTCCACTCCCGAACTTTCCACTAAATACTATGAGGACAGATTAATTACTTTTAGTTGGTAGCGGTAGTAAACACGGCATGATGAAAGGGAATAGGCCACGCCCAATACGAACGCGGCGTCTGCTAGATTGGCAGCACGGGGGAAACGTGATGTAAACACTTCCTACATAACATAGGTGCTCTGTCCATACAAGACATTTTTGAAAAGCAGATTAATAGGCACACACAGTAGGGGAAACTAATAAAAATTAATATATGTTCATATTATTATTTATAAAATCTACTTTAATCTCTACAGTTTGAGGATGAGTCTATTTGTTTTATTATTACTTTTGTCTTTTATCAACATTTCCATTTTCATTATTCTTTGAGTATGACCTTGAGATATTCACCTGATCCCCATTATTCTTTAAGCCTCAAATTTAAAACAATATATTTTACAGAGAAGTTTTCCAGATCATGTACAAGATATGACAGGGCTTCGATGGCTTCGATTGAGTCACACAAATCTGAAGGAAGTACCAAGTGAAATTGGTTTTCTTAATAAATTGGTAAGCTAATTTACATACATGTTTACATAAAATACATATTTATTTCATGCCTAAATTATCACACTATTTTCTTTATGATGGATTAAGATTGGGGAAGCTATAAACAATAACTATTCTTATCAATAAGTTAATTATATATTGAAGACATAAGTTTACATGTTAATTTTAATAGTTTACAGTATTATTTATAAATTTTTATTACATATTTTTTCATAAATCTCTTTTTGAAACTGATGACTTTGACTAAATCTTTTACTATTACAGGAGGATCTTGTTATGGTTCACAATGACATCCAGTCGCTTGGTAAAGATCTACCTTCACTTCCAGCCCTTCACAGCATCAATTTCAGATTCAATCAATTAACAGACACTGGTGTGCCTAGCAAAATCTTTACTGGCAATGATCTTTCTATTGTTGTGAGTCATTTAAAGATTTAATCAATCTTAATATAAAATGTCCAGAAAACTTCATCTAGACGGGAAACAAGACCCAACTAATGCATGAAACAAATATCAATAACAGAAATCAAGGGTGCTGAAGACTCCCAAGCGAAAAGGGGAGGGGTTGGGGAGGGGTCTGGGCAGGAGGAGCCCTCTGTGGTTCTGTGCTGTTGTGTTTTTCCATGGATTATTTTTAGTTTTGTAATAATTATATTATAGATAATTGGTGTAATTACTTTTAAGCTTTCAAAGCTGTGGATTTTTATTTATTTTCTTTGAACTTTTTAACAAAAAGATTTAATATTTCTCATCTTGGTACTTAGGATTTGAGCCACAATAAACTATCCCAAGTTCCCCCAGAATTGGAAAATGCCAAGTCTGTGCTTGTCCTTAACCTGAGTCATAATCAGTAAGTTAACCATGCCTACATATTTCCTTTGTTAATTTTTTTACTGTAAAAACTCAGGAACCTGTTCATTAGTTATTTGGACACATTTTGTGATCCAGAGTAATATTTTATGACACACCATTATACTATGCACACCTGGAAAGAAAGGAAGACATCATGTCTACGGTGTTTTAAGTCAAATCAAGGACAAGCGTGTCTGTCAAACCACAATACAAAACAAGATAAGTGGCAGGATAGGGAAGGCTGCAACTGTTATGGCCAGACTGAAGAAAAGAGTCTGGTCAAATGCCAAACTCACAACAAGAACTAAGCTGCAGATATACCAGGCCTGCGTACTGAGCACACTCCTTTATGGATGCGAGTCATGGACCTCATACTCGAAGCACGAAAGAAGGCTCAATGGCTTCCACCTCAGATGCCTGCGCCACATCCTTGACATTAAATGGCAAGACAAAGTCCCCAACACGGATGTCCTGTCCCAAACATGTGTAGCGTCTCAGCCATATTAATCCAAAGACGCCTCCGCTGGCTTGGACACGTCAAGCGCATGCAACCTGGTCTCATACCCAAGGACGTGCTATACAGTGAGCTGGCGACAGGGAAAAGGTCAGTTGGACGGCCTCGTCTGAGATACTTAGACATATGCAAAAGAGACATAAAGTCAGCCAACATCAACATCTCAAACTGGGAGGACCTGGCAGAGGATCGATCCACATGGCGGGACATCGTTAAAGGAAGGATCACTACATGCCGAGGAGCAAAACAGGGCGGAAACAGCTGCAAAAAGAGTGAGGAGGAAGGCCAGTAAATACTGCTCCACCCCATTCGTATGTGGGAAATGCAACAGAGACAGCCACTCTAGGATTGGTCTCACTAGCCACACCAAGAGCTGCAAGCAATAAAGATAATCTATCGTCTCCCGGAGACGGAAAGATGCCACACCACACATACAAAACATTATGTTCATTATCAAAGCTTTTAAACAAAAACTGTTATTATTTTTTCAATAGGTTTAATATATTTACATATAATTTGTCACCCATTCTTCAAGTTTGTTTTATAAGGTCATGAAATAATAATGAATTTTAAATAATTTGCAGGATTGAAATGATCCCGAATCAGCTTTTCATCAATTTGACAGATCTTGTCTTTGTAGATTTGAGCAATAACAATTTAGGTGATACTTTTTTGTTGGTAATAATAATAATAATCAACTGTATAAAGTAAATGCTTTTACTGGCAAAAATATTTATTGCATCGAAGTCTGCTAAAGTAATTAAAAAATAAATGTTGCTGAGAGCTGCTATTTTAGATGAATAATTTATGAAATGGAACAAGTTTCAGCTACTTGAACTTGCCAAGTTGGAATAAATGTTGTTGTGGTAAAAATGATTAAGTACAAAAATCAGACAAAAGAAAATTTATTTTGAAGGCTTAAATTAAAGATAATTATTTGATATATTTTTATGTCATAGTAAATTATAATAATTTCTTTCATTTTCTGAAACTACAACCTTTTTTTACTTCTCCATTTCCTCTTAGAAACTCTGCCACCACAAATGAGGCGATTAACCAGTCTTCACACACTAATTCTTGATAACAACCCACTCATTCATGCCCAACTTAGGTAACTAACATTTAAGAAATATTTTAGTTTTATATACAGGGAAGTTAATTCACCTCATTCTCAAACCCCTAACCTTTTGCTCAAACATTTTTAGGCAACTACCAGTGCTCACAGCTCTACAGACACTGAGAATGAAAAACACACAGAGAACACTAAATAATTTCCCCACTGGTTTGGACACTCTCACAAATTTACAAGGTAAATAGAGTCAGAATTTTTAAATATCCTGTGACTTATTTTTGTTAACGTTATAGGTTTTATCCATATTGCAAGAATAAATGAAAATTTTAGTGAGATACCTCAAGTAAATTATGCACTATATTAGTTATATTTTCAGCTAACTACATACTGCAAAAAAAGTAATACAAATTTATTCAAACAATTTAAATTAGTCTGGAAACATTTTTTTAAATATAAAAATCATAAGCTGGTTTAAAGACCAAAGATCATTGATATTTTGATTATGATAAATGTATGTATGTACATAAAAATTCATGCATCAAAATCAGAATGACCTATTCCTGATATTCCATTATTTATAATGACAAACTATTGCTAGGTATCTTATATATTATTTTGTTCACAATTGAAGATGTGGACTTGTCCTACAACACTTTGACTCGAGTGCCAGAAGCTCTTTATAAACTTGAATCTTTGAAGCGGCTTAATCTAAGCAATAATGAAATTACAGAATTATCTGTAATGATTGGTAAGTGTTGAATAATATAATATATAAAAGAACAAAACATATTTAAAAATTCATGCTTGCTATAAAATTAAATAATTTTAACGTGAGTCTATTCAGTAAAGGCACTTAAGTAAATTATTAATGTGTTAATATTTTATACATGCATTTATCTAAAAACATTTTTAGTACTATGGTCTTCAGTAGTAATTACAAAATTTTGATTACATTAAAGTAGGCCTTATAGTCTCAAAATGATTTAAACAATTTTCAGACACTTGGGCTAAAATGGAGACTCTCAACTTGTCCCGCAATAAGCTAAAAGCTTTACCAGTAAGTTATTCCTTCATGTATTTTGTTTTTGATACATGTCAGAGTGCTTTTGTGACCATTAAACTTCAATTAAAATATGAAGAAATTGAGAAATAGAATAGTGAATTTAGCTTTACTATTTTTGTTGACAGAAAATTCTTTCATTTTCTTGTAATCTCTAAACTTTCCCTAGTCATCACTGCATAAACTCCAGAACTTGAAGAAGCTATACCTCAATGGTAACCAGCTAGACTTTGAAGGGATTCCTGCCAATATTGGAAAATTACATAACCTCGAAGTCTTTAGTGCATCAAAAAATAATCTAGAAATGATTCCAGAAGGCCTGGGAAGGTTTGTTGTGATGAAGTTTCAATAATTTGTAGATGATATACAAAATGTATTAGGTGTAGACATTTATATTTGAGTTTGACATCAAAATTGCTTAAATTGCATTATATAAAATCTCAAATGTCTTAAACAAAGTATCAATGAAATTAAAAGAATTTTTCATCTATTTGCAGGTGTGGAAAGTTGAAAAAACTTATTTTAAATGGTAACAGATTAATCACCTTACCTGACATCTTGCACCTTCTCCCTGAACTTGAGGTAATTCTTTTCTTCTCTGCCAATCTTAAAATAAAATGTTTAGGGAAAATTTATGATATTTATCCCTAATGTATGGCAGAGGTACATGCAAGCTGCATGGTTTCACATTTTATTCTATCTTTTTTTAAAAAAATACTTTATCTAAGACTCTTGATGTAAGAGAAAACCCAGATCTGGTCATGCCCCCTAAGCCACAAGAGGCAAAGGCAGCACTGCAGTACTACAACATAGACTTCACTCTCAATACTCAACTTCGACTTGCTGGTGCCCAACCAGTGCCTTCATCAGGACAATCTCCATGTAAGTGGTTCCTAATACATGTTTAATATTACAATATGTAGGCACTTGGTATCGCTGGGGGAAAACCCAAAAATCGGATATCGTGATTTCGCTGTTAAAATGGAGTCCACCACTTTTTAATTTACAGAATATGAGGTTGTTTTGGATTATTTTACCAGAAAGAGGCTTGGAAGTAAATTATAATTACCACAACAAATGAAAATAGACATCATTGTTGTGCGTTTGACAGTATTCTTGTTAAACAAATTTGAGGTTTTAATTTTGAAAATTGAAGGTAAAAACATACTAATTTTACTAAATCATTTTTGTTGTTGATAAAAACCTCTTTAAAAATTTTAAAGGCCTAAATAGATCATTACATAAATAACAATATATAAAACATTAGTGAGGTAAGGACTTGTATTTTTGTCAAAAAATGTGTTACCAAAATTGTTTCCACTTGTCTGCATATTACCTATTAACGAAAATGTTTTTTGGGGTAAATAAATTGATTTACACTGGAAATCCATCATTTTACCCCATCATATTACCATATCATATTACCCATAATAACTCATTTAAAACAAATCAAATAATTAAATAAGACAAAAAAATATTTTTAATGTGATTTCATGATTTTATTTAGAGGTATTGATTTGAGGATTTAGATAGATAGCCTATTTACTACTTATATAAATACCCCCACCGCAACATATTATTTGTGGGACCTATTAAATGTAATGATATTTTGGGCTATTTCATTATATTTCAATGAATATTATGATTCTTAAAACATTAACTAAATAAATTTTTAAAAAATATTTACTTACCTTTGACATTGAAGTATTTAAATAAAAATTGTAGAAAAGTAAGTTTTGGTCTTTTGTCACAGATAGCGCAAAAAGGCTCCGTATCAAGAGCGTTAATTTCTATCCCAAGTTAATTCCAGCAATCATGTTGATTTTTAAGACATGATTTCTAACTGAAATAAATTAAAGTGATTTTTGTGTGACATAGATAACTTGTTAAAAGTTTAGTAATTTTTGTGCAACTTATATGCTTAACTGAATATTATAAAATTTTTACTGGTAAGACAAGTCACATGGCCTAAAATGCTTTACTAAGTTAAAAACTGAAGCTGTTAAAAGCACCAGGTTATTTTTATTAATTTATTGTTACTGAGTTGAATTAGATTTTAACATGTTGATTTGTAAAACATGATCACTAACTTAAATGGCATAGCCTACTAATTTCTGTCATATTCATATGGAACTATATATAGAGGAAAAAAATTACAATGGTCAATTTTAACTAAATAAATCAATTATTCCCTTTATTATTTTTCTGTACTTAAACAGTTCCACTGAAAAATTGAATGTTAAATCTTTAAATTATTATTATTATTATCTGTGGGAAATTAAAATAAAAAATAATTTTTTAATCAATTTATGGAATAAAAAATAATTGTTTATCAAAATTTGATAAAATATGCTTACTCAGGAAATTTAGAAACATTTAAAAAATTTGTTTTGATCATCAACAATAACTAAATCTTTATTTTGTAAGTTTATTTATTAATACCTGTTACTCATATCTAACTATATTCCCTTTAATATTATAATTTTGTCTTATTTTATAATAAAGTCAGAGACCATAATACAAAAGTAAAAAATGGGTTATGAAATGTGGAGGAAAACTCTACAGTGAAAAAGTGTAATTTTGGTCCTTAATAAAAAAATTCATAACTTTTGAACCACTTGAGCTAGAAAGTTGATCTTGTTTTTTTTTTGTTTTTTTTCTTTTTTGTTAACAATGCTCTAGGCTCTCTACAACTGTAGTAATTTTATATATTTAAAAATGTTTTGAAATTTTCACCAAAGTGCCTACAATGCATTGTTAGTAGTTTTATAAACAGGAATAATGAAAATATCAAGCTGTTGTTGTTATTTACTTATATAATAGTATATTGGAAACATTTTTTAGCACCAAAAAGTGATCCTGTTGCAAGAAAATTGAGACTCAGAAGACGAAGAGATGGGCAAGAGAGTGAGAAAGTGTTGAAGGTGATTATTTCAAATATATTATTTTCTGAAAAATATTTTATCTTCTAAATGTAATACTCACTTTGTACAAAATCATTTTAGTTGGTGAACTATTTAAAAAAAAAAAATTATATTGAAGTCCTGTCATAGATGATTGCCTGAATTAGAATACTATTACCAGAAATGAATTTGGCTAGATATTACATTTTCACATACAATGATAATCTGATAGTAATTGAATCGATATGTTTTAGTTAAGCTTATACATGATAATCTGATAGTAATTGAATTGATAGGTTTCAATTAAGCTTATAGGCTACAACAAAATTTAATAGTAATTTAATCAGCAGATTGCAATTAAGCTTATACAACAAAAATATATCACAGGGGATGAGAGATGTTGCTAAGGATAAAGCGGAAGGGAAGGCGAGTGCTAAAGATGATGAACAAAGAGAACCACTGAAGTAAGTATTATTTTGATCTTGGTTTACATAAACTTTTGATTATGTTTTTCCCATTGAGTTCCATCCCATAATTTTTTTAATATCTTTCTCATTTTTATACTTTACATAAAGGCCAAAGAGATGGGATGAAAATCTTCATCGTCCACAATTAGACTACAGTGAAATATTTGATGAAGATGTTGGACAAATTCCAGGTAAAGTGTGAAAAAAGCGTGTTTTTTTCTTGTAATACTTAGGCTTCAGTACAATAATCAAAATACTTTCTTATAGTTTTAGGGTAACAAAATAAACTAGACAATCATTGCCAAAGGGGACTTAACATGATTCCTAGAGTCATCATTATTTCCATACGACTTGCTGTTTTCATAAATTTTATGTTGTAGCTAAAAAAATGTTTTAATAAAGTAAACTTAGGTTTGAGCAGAATATTTTGTGTCACTTTTATCAGTAAACATTTGTCTTTTTTCAGGTATAGCTTGCTGGGAAATAGAAAATTTTCTTCCAAACCAGGTTGAGGAAGGTGAGTGGTTTATATGAACATCGTAAGAAATTCATCATCAAGATCCTGTAACCATTTGGGCATTAAATTTAATATTAGATTATAAAAAAGAACTGTAGATGTCAAATGTAAAAAAAGAAAAGTTAGAAAAATGTCACGATTCTTATATTCATTCTGTTACTTCTTAATCTGACTTTTTTCTTGCAGGTCTGATTGGCAAATTTTATCAAGCTGATTGCTACATAATTTTAAAGACTTATATTGATGAGTCCAATAGTCTCAGCTGGAAAATTTGGTATTGGATAGGAAATGATGCTACGGTAATTGAAATTAGTGATGTTTTTTATTTTATTTTATAAGTTAGTAATAGGATACAGTAAATAAGTATTTATAATAAATAGTCTTATTTCAACATCTTTGATACACTGAGATTTTATTAGTCTTATATCAACATATTAGATACATTGAGATTTTATAAATGGAAACCTATGAAAGACATTTACATTTTTTCTTTACTTTGCTTTCCTATTTCAAATTAGCTAATTAATTCAATACAATACTTTTTCAGACCTGTTTACTTTATGATTGTGACTTACAATATACGATTTTGAGATGTCTTTTATGATTGTATGCTGAGACCTGTCAGAACTATGATTGTTGGAGACTGGTTAAAAAAATATATTCCAGTAGTTTTTACGATTTAAAAAAAAAAGAAGCTGTTTCGGTTGTTAGTTTTGTCTCCTTACTACACCCGGTTGTGAATGAACAGAGAAATATGATTGCCTTGGGACCATTTATAATTATATTACATACACACTGTGAAGGGAAAGGGGGTGATGTTGACTTGGACGTGAATGGGTGTGTATCGGAGGGGTAGAAAAAGGTCTCTAAATATTTTTAAAGGTTATAAAATAACATCTCATTTCGTAATGGTTGTGATATTATTGCCATGTTTTTTCACAATGAACTTGCTAGATACAGCAACAGTAATATTTAGCCTTTTGACAAATTTAGTAAACATTCGCTTTTGTTTTCTTTGATGCTCTATAACAAAATTTTGTGACATAATTATTTCGTTCTTCTGCTGAAGAGCAGCGATTGCGAAAAGGGAGAAAACTACATTTTAAAAAAAAAAATAAAAAAAAAAAAAAAAAAAAAAAAAAAAAAAAAAAAAATAAAAAAAAAAAAAAAAAAAAAAAAAAAAAATAAAAAAAAAAAAAAAATATCATTCTCTACTGCTCTACACAGCATCAGATTTTGACATATTTTATAAGATCTAGTAAGCAACATTTCTAATCTATTTTTAGAAGTCACTAAGCAGCTGTACAATTTTAATATACCAGCACTCTTCCCTTCCCCAAAAACAGATTTTGTTAGTTATTAGACTACAAAATGACAGAAAATAAAATCAGTCTACGAGGCGTAATTTTCCACAAACTTTACAATTAAGTGTAGAAAGATGTAAAACTTTATTTAGGTACTCTGAGGTATACGCAAAAGTGCATGCCTGCATTTTAAATTTATTATAAAAAATCTGGGAAGTGGGGCTCAGCCTCCTGCTCCAATCCCACCTCTTTTGTTTGGGTGACTTTGAAAAGCATCCTCAATTTCTGCACCACATCTTCATATATAAAATTGGCAAATGACAGGCACCTTCTTATTTTCAATGATGCACTGTATATAAATATTTAAACGTCGGTCATCTATTTTAACTATAATGACAGGATATCATATGATTAGGAGATGTAAAGTACTATTCTGAGACTGTATTGTGCTATTTTGGGAGCTCCAGTGTAACTATTTCTGCATTTTTAAAAAGTCTTAGATAAAATTTGAATATTATTATTAACAAGAGACATTTTCTTCTTTCAGCTTGATAAAAAAGCTTGTTCAGCTATCCATGCTGTCAATCTGCGTAACCTGTTAGGGGCTGACTGTAGAACCATTCGACAAGAGCAAAATGATGAAGATGATGATTTTTTGGACTTGTTTGAAAATGGCATTTCAGTTATTGAAGGAGGACGTACTTCTAGTGGCTTTTACACAGTCGAAGATGCTGTGAGGAGTGAAATATTTGTGTTAATTGTTTTTAATTAATGGCTACAACATTAAAACACACATATTTTCAAGTGCATATTTTTATCTGGTTGATAGATTGTTAAGCAATACATGCTCTGCGTCCTTCATTGATTTATTATTCATCAGTGCTAATCTTATTGTTATTAGGTTTTATCAATCCATATGTATATTACACATGATTGAGATCATTCATACTTTGCTTTTGATTTGCATCTAAATATATCTCTTTAAAACTAAACATCCACATATTTATGTTCACTGCATAATGCATTGAGAAAGTAATAAATGGCAACACAAAACTTACTCAGAAATTAAAGACATAATCATTTTTTTTAAAACTGTTTTTGCTAATAGGATCCTGAAGTAAGACTTTACAGAGCCACGGGGACCCTGTCAGTGCACATGGAGAGGGTGAGTTAATCTTTTAATTTATACATTAAGAAAACTCTGCAAATATTAACTCGGGTGAAATCTACTTAACTCCATGTTTGTGAATAACATAGATTAGACACCATGTTTTGTCTTTATCATATTAATGTTGTATAATCACGTGGAAATTGTTTTTTTTTTTTAATAAAAAATTGAGGGAATACTTATTATCTCCACAGTGTCCTCTTTTGCTTGATATATTAGACCCAAGGCATGTGTTTTTATTGGATGCTGGTCAAAAGCTGTTTATATGGAATGGCAACAAGTCTAATTTGGTCACAAGAACAAAATCAAGGTTTGTTATTAATTCTTTGTTTTATTTTTATATCTTGTTATCTGCTAATATCTGGTTATCATGAGTAAAAAAAAATCTGTCACTAAATATACACTATTTTCAAAAATACATGACAAAGAATAATCACTCCCGCATTGTACTTATTGATTTTAACACACTGGTATGCTTTTCTAATATTTCTAAGTTCTCTTGATTCTTATATATTCCCCAATATGTCATTCAGCAGGTGAGAAAATTTAGCATATGATTAAGATTTGGCCATTTTGGCATAAGTGCTTAAAAGACGTACCCACCTTAGAAAAGATACATTTTTCATTTCTAGAAAACTGTAATTTACATGACTATCAACTTTTGCAGACTTATAGCAGAAAAAATAAATAAAAATGAAAGAAAAGGCAAGGCTGAAATTATACAGTTCGCACAAGGCAAAGAAACATCAGATTTCTGGAGATCCATTGGTGGACCTCCTGATAGTTTTGAAGTCAAGGTATTCAAACTTTAACTCATGCTTGATTTGTTGTTGACATATGCTGTAGAATTAGGAAGACATACATGTTTTATTAAAATGTTTGTAAACTTTTCTCATTTACCATTTTAATTTTGCATATGCAGAATTCTTCACTATCGGACATTCCCATAGCAAATCCAAGACTATATAGAGTAGGACTTGGTAAAGGATATTTGGAGCTTCCTCAGGGTAAGCTAACGTCTTAAACTTAAACACTAAAAGTATTATTTTATATCTAGATGTTAAGAAAGCAAAACATCCCAGGTAGAAAATAATAATTTTTTTTATATACTGGATATTAAAATTAATAAAAGATTATGAAATTTATATTGAAGTAAGTTATGTAAATTATTCATTAAAAAATTCAAGTATAGTAAGTTTTATATGTAAATGAATTCCATTTAATATTTCTATGCATTTTATCTATTTGTTTTAGTTCACATCCCTAAAAATCGACTAGTCAACACTTTGCTAGATACTAAATGTGTTTATGTTCTAGACTGTATCACTGATGTCTTTGTATGGTAAGTAAATTACTATCCTTTATTGTTACCAGTCATAATTTTCTTTTATATGAAAACTATTCATTCATCAGCTATGTTATTTTTATTAGATAGAAAGTACCATGATGGTTGGATATCCGGATGCACAGTTTAATTGGCAGATGATTGGTTATGGCTGCTCTGCAGATTTATTCATTAGTAATTAATTTCATTTTGCTGTGCATAGTGCAGAAGACAGAGACAAATGGAGGAGGATAGTTCACACGTCATCTATGACATCTCAACGGTCCAAGGACTACGGGACAAGATGATGATGAATTGCAATTTACAAAAAATTAGTTAGCTAATCAGCTTTTTTTTATCAGAAAATGCTATCAAGATGTTGTCTTAAAATATAGAATATTCTATTAAAATATGTTATCTATAAATATAGAAGCAAAAAATACAGATCCGCACAAAAAACTCAGTAATTGGTCGATTTTCATTATTTAAAAGGCTCAATAAAATTCAACTATTCCCCTAACGAATAACATTTTGCCTGAGACTGTGGTGAAAGGTTATATCCTCACAAACAGTATGGGGGCAAGGAGGTGGCAAATAACATTCCATTTTTTTCGGATGATGAAAATTTTTTATATTGGCATATACAAACAGGATACCAATTGTTTTATTCAAAATGTCCTCACCCCTGATGTAAATGATTTTTTAAAAAAAAATATATGAAGGGACAGTCATTGTTTATGCATAATTTGTGTTCTACCCTGGTAGCCGTATGGATACTAATTCTTCTACGTCAACTAGTGGATTGTCACTTTGATATGGATTATGTCAGTCTTTTTAGTTAGCAATACACTCGACAATGGGAAATTCTGGCATGAATGCTATGTTGGTACATGTGACAGAAATGGTCCCTCCTTACTATATACAACATCAATTTTTTTTTTCTTCCTCCAAGACCCCATTATATCAAGTCATCAGTAAAAGAAAAATGAACAAAATTAACTTCAACTTATTTTTTATGATAAATTTAAGATGATTAAATCTAAAAAAAAATTGTATCTATCCATTTAGGTGTGTTTAAATATTTCCAAAGATAATAGTATTATTAAAATCTCTACTTTAAGGATTGGGAAAAAATCAACAAGGCTGGTAAGAGCAGCAGCCTTAAAACTGGCTCAGGAACTTCATGACATGATTGACAGACCTGAATTTGTCACCATCTATCGATGCCTTGAAGGGTAAGGGTGTGTACTAAATGTATGGTTATCTTTATGTATTCATGGTCTCAATGTTGAGAGATATTTTCAGTACTGTCTTTTTTTTACATGCGATTCACAAAATCATGAACTCAATATTTCATGATTTCGCTAATTTTGTAGGACAGAGCCACAGATCTTCAAGACTAAATTTGTAGGCTGGGATGATGTTTTACCAGTAGACTACACACGATCTGTTGAATCTATTGCAAGGCGTGGAGCAGATATAAAGGTATGTGGGTTAAATTGATATTTGTTACTTTATCTTTGCCCAAAATATCCTTTAATTAAATCTTAAGTCTACATTTCATACTTGCCAAAGAGCTCTCATAGATGAAAGAAGAAAAAACTATTTTATTGACAGGTTATCATGGAAAAGGACAAGATGCAGACTGATTTATCAGCCCTTTTTATGCCAAGACAGCCAACAATGACAGAAGAAGAAGCTGTAAGAACCTTTAGTAAATGAATTGTATTTTTAGGAGAGATTATTAACCTTTTAAAGAGAGTATTAAAAATAATTATTCTAATTATATATTTACCATGCAAATATTTTATTCTAATTATATATTTACCATGCAAATATTTTTTTCTAACTTTTTATTTATTCAGCTTTAACTTTAGAATTTATAAAAGATATTGCCAGAACACAGCTAACTTTCCTTATGATCAATTTTATTTTCTGGAAATTTCAGGAGACACTGTCAGCAGACTGGAATGATGACCTGGATGGAATGGAATCTTTTGTTTTGGAGGGCAAAAAATTTGTTCGTCTCCCAGATGAAGAATTGGGTAAAAAATATTTAAATCCTTTTTATATTTTTCTATTCCTGATTTGAGCTTGAATTTTTAGATAAGAGAAGATGAGAACCATTTTTGTTAAAAAATATGGAAATTTATTGTGATCACATTATAACTTGTAGAATTTTAAAAATATCATTCAACTTCATTAAATGATGCTTTTGATATATTACAAGAAGTTTTGTTTCTCACCTAACAGGTGTTTTCCATGCAGAAGACTGCTATGTGTTCTTATGCAGATACTGGGTGCCTGTTGATTTACCTGAGGGAGAAGAAGACATTGATGAGGATGACTTACCTGAAGATGAGTTCAAGTGCATTGTTTATTTCTGGCAAGGAAGAAATGCTTCCAACATGGGCTGGTTAACTTTTACATTCAGGTATATAGAAACAAATTAGATTTAAAATGGCCTTGCATAGTATCAATCAACTCAAACTGTGATGTACCTGTGTAATCTAATCTTTTTCATTAAATATGTTTTAAAAAATGAGCTTGAATGAACAAGCTCAAAATGTTGGAACAATAGATACATAAAATAATATAAAATAAATATAGATATTTTAATATACCAACATAGAAGATGCATTTATTCTATATAGCAACATAGAATGTATAGATATTTTGATATAGCAACATAGAATATGCATTTATTCAATATAGCAACATAGAATATATAGATATTTTAATTTAGCAACATAGAATATGCAGATATTAAATAGAGCAACATAGAATATATAGATATTTTAATATATCAACAAAGAGTATGTAGATATTTTAATAAAGCAACATAGAATGTAATTTCAGTGCTTTCGAACCTTTTTGACTCAGTGGGCAAATTTTTTTTCTTTGTGGTGCTGAGGGCTGCGCATGACATTCCAAAATAATTTTTTTTAAAAACGTTTTAGAGCAGGCCTGCACAACATGTGGCCCGTGACGTAACGAAATATTCTTTACTCTTATTATTTTCTTAAAAGCTTTCCCCCCTGTCCTATTTTCTTTGGCCCGCACAACACCTGTCCTATTTTCTTTTGGCCTGCACTTGTTTTTTTTTATAAAGTATTACGGCCCGCTTTACATTTTTAGTTGTGCATGCCTGTTTTAGAGAATTGTTCAGTTTGTTAATACTTCTTACATTATGATTAAAGAATCATGGTTGCCAGAAATTTGATCGAAGAAATTTCATCGGCGGTAAATTGATCGACGGAAATTTGATTGAACGGAAATTTGGTAGAATCTTTTTTTTCAGTTGACACATTGAAATTTTCGTCAAATTTCTTTTTGAACGCACTATACTATATAGTAAAACATAAATAATGTGTTCAAAAAGAAAATTGAAGCAAAATCTTAACGTAAAAACTAAAAAAAGATTCGACCAAATTACTGTTCTATCAAATCACCGTCGATCACTTTACCGTCGACGAAATTTCTTTCGATCAAATTTCCGGATACGAAGATTCATATATCTGGAAGCAGTATCATCCATATAATAAATAACACAAATAAAAACTGTAGCACATCCTTTTATGCCATATTTGCCGTTCACTTGTACTTGCAATCTTAATTAATTAGTGGTTGTTATTCAGTAACTGCTGCCCTTATTAGGTTTCCTAAATGTTTGTCAGTCAAAGCATTTCTTTTTTTGGACTTGATGTTGATCATTACAGAGAATCCAGCATCACAGATGTAGATGGTTCCAAACTTTGTCAATATCTTTTTACAACATTTCAATATTTGTGGAAATTCATCCGAAGAAACATAGGTCATCCAGAATTTAGTTGGCAATGCATTATGTTTGTCATGAAGAGCCATGTCAGGCTGCATCTTGATGAGTTCAAGCTGCACCTTCATCTGCTCCTAATAATGTCATCTTTGTAGCTACAACTGAGATTTCACACATAAAGAGATTGTCAACAAAAAGTAAAACAGGAATAAGACTCTGAATATCTTTAAAATGATAGTTGAATCGCTCACTTATGACCAGCTATGAAAGTTGTTGTGCAGCCTTTGCAAGGGCTGGGAAGTGAGTAAAATTTGTCTGATTCGATTGGCTGATGAATAATTTTAGATAAGATTCAAAAACACTAATATCTTTCATAGCTTTGATAAGATTAAAAAAAGCTCTGCAATTTCAGATTTAATTTATTAAGGTGATCTGTAATTTCAGTTAGAAATGCTAGCCTTACAATAAACTCAACTTTAACAAATTGCCCCTTGCTTTTGACCTGGGAAACAGTTTCACTTCTTTAATTACATATCAGAATCTTGCCAGCACTTTCCCTTTGCTCAGCCAACAAACATCATTATGAATACAAAAGTCCCCAAAATTTCGTTCATATTCTTCTAACAAAGTCTTTAATTGCCAGTGATTTAATGGATTAGCTAAAAGGAAATGAAAAATTTTCACTAGACTTTCCATAACATTTTGCAGTGTATTATCTTTTAGCTTTGAGCAAAGAGATCTCTGGTGAAATATTCAAAATAATGTCTGGAAAATCATTGTCAGCTATCAACAAACCAATCAGGCCAACTCTCCTTCCCACCATTGCTGAAGCACCATCTGTTGTAACCGAAATAATCTTCTTCAAATCAATACTATTCTTTAATAGAAATTCCTTCAGTGCCCTATACTTATATTTTATTATTATATTTATTATATATATTATTATTTTATTATATATTATTATATTACGGGTTGTATTTTTCAATAGAAATAGTGGCAATAATTCATCTTTAAATCCATGTTCCATGTCAAATATCACCCAAACCATAAGTTGGACTATGTCAGTGATATCTCATATATCATCAAATGCAAGACTGAAACCGGTAGAATTTTTTAATCCTTTATATTAACTTCGCTTTTGTTTGTGGTTAACTCGCTGGCTTACTGCATGGCAAAATTTTGGACAGCTAATTGGCCCACTTCCTTTCAAGTTATTGAGCTGAAACTTGGCACATAGACTTGTTGCAGATGACAACACATTCTCTCAAATTTTTCAGCCCCCCCCCCCCCAATCAGTTTTTCCTGTTTTTCAAAGGGAAGATTTTGGACAGCTAATTGGCCCACTTCCTTTCAAGTTATTGAGCTGAAACTTGGCACATAGACTTGTTGCAGATGACAACACATTCTCTCAAATTTTTCAGCCCCCACCCCCCCCCAATCAGTTTTTCCTGTTTTTCAAAGGGAAGATAAAATAAAATTCCTGGACTGCCCTAAATGAGATTCTTTTTTTAAAAAATCTAGTAAGTGCTTTAGGTACATAATATTTTTTAAAATTTTTCTAAAACTGTTGGTGAAATAAATTAATCAGCAGTTTAAAAGTGGGCGAGTCATTTAAATATTAATATAGTTCAGTGACATGAAAAAAAATGTGGGATTGTGATCCTTAAGGGGTGAGCACTAACTGAGATTCTTATAAAGTGCATTACTTGTATGATTGTTTTGTCTAATTTTCAACCCCCCCCCCCTTTGCTTGATGTTAGATTTTATATTTATAAAGGATTTATATAAAAAGCAATGTTAGTAGGGGTTTTTAATTCAAATCATGAAGCAACTGCTGAAATACAACCCTGGACATACTTTCAACACATCTTGTAAGTCTGGTGAGAAAACTGAAGATTTCATATTTGTTTTTTTTTTAATTTCTTCGTTTTAAAAAAAATTTCAGCAAATAAAGAATATACACATTCTTGAAAACAAAGTTTAACAGTCTCACCATCTGAATAGGATTTTTTCTTCTTAGCTAATAACAGATAATATTAAAAGATGCTTCAGTAGCGAAGTTTCTTGAGCTCAAAATCTGATGAAAGACTGGCCATTCAGATTCTTTTTTAAAGAAACAACTGTCTTCTCTTAACTTTGTTCCAATTGGATAATCTTTCTCAAAATCTGCATGCATTGACTTGGGGTGTCTCTGCAGACTGGCCTTTTTCATAACAGAAATAGAAGTCTGGCATATCAAACACACTGTCAAAAACTCCAGTTCCCATGAAGCGTTAAAAGTTCGGTTCTCTTCTAAAACGTTAGTTTTTTTACTGTCATTTTTGCTTTATAATTTTAGAAATAAAAATGCTTTCAAAAATCGTTCCTACCATCTCTCAGAATTTCTCCCTTACTGAATTGCACTTAACTACCAACACAGCTTTTATCCCGCTTTCTACTCCTGGAAAGGATCATACTCTGATTACTGAATGCCAGGTAGTAGATTGATTTCGTCTAAAAATACAGGATGGACCAACTGCCCCCACATAGCAGACTGCCTATTTAGTTTCAACTTGTTAACATTCCACTCCAGTCATTTGTGATTACTCCTGTCTTATCATTATCATCCTATAAAGCACAGTTGTGCTGCTCACCTATGTAGTTCATCTAAACCTGTCCCGTTGGTGGGCATGGAATTTTTGCGATGACTAGCTAGCTACTCATCAAGTTACGACATTTCAAGATCCCCAATTCATCTGTCCCAACAGTGTTACCCTTACCCTAACCCTCACTCTAACCTGACCCTCACCCCACTCTCATCCACACTGGGCTGGTTGAAGTAGCAAAAAGGAGAAGCAGTTAGTATCCGATTTCATGTCACCTAATGTTCCCACATTGTTGATCTGCTGTCATGCTTAAAATAAATGTCAAGCCATCACACTCCTTTTGCCACACCCCTTTATTTTTGGGATGCCACAATTTCTCCTTTGCTCTTACGCAATTTCCCAACAGTACTGAATCACTGAATGTTGTTTGATTTTATTTTCTATACAACATGTTTATTTTTATACAAATGGTTAAAAAAGTCTCAAGTTCTGGCCATTTTAAACTAGTCCGCGGGTTGGACAGCACTGTGTTATTTAGTTTTCCACATTTAGGTGTTCAACTATTTTATCTGAGGAAGAAGCAACTATCAGATAATTTCCAACATACTGATGTACTATTAATTTTGCTTGTAATGGTAATGAAAAAAAAAATCTTGTATATGTTTTATCAAAGTACCATTACCTTACATAATAAAATTTACTAATAATAACTTTTGATTCTGTGTAGTCTTCAAAAGAAATTTCAAACACTCTTTGGGGACAAACTAGAAGTTGTGAGGCAGTTCCAGCAACAAGAGAATCTCAAATTCCTTTCTCACTTTAAAAGAAAATTTATCATTAAGTTGGGAAAACGTCCAGCTGGAAGACCTGCTGATTCTGCAAAGGTGAAACCTGGCACAGAATTTTTCCAACTTAGGGCTAATGGAAGCCCAATAGCGACCAGGTGCATACAGGTCTGTTTTCCTCATAGCTTGTTCAAAAGTTTTAAAAACAAATAATGAGAAGGGACAAAATATTCAAATTTTAATGAAACATCCCAAAATTTACTTTAAATTCAAATTTTAGAATTTACAAAAAAAAAATTAAATTTTCTTTTTGACAGTTGGAGAAACCTGATGCAACATGGCTAAGTCCACGTTTCTGGTAAGTACATGCAAAGCTAAGATAAATTTTTAAAAATTTTATCATTAGCTATCAATACTGTGAAATACTGTGAAATTTTTTTTTACTTAAAAGTTAATTATTCCTATCCTTTAAAAAAAATATGTTATTGATTCAATTTGATGTTTAAAAAAGTTAATTTAAGAAAATTGTATTTCAGTTTTATTCTAATGGTACCATTTGATAGTGATGAACTTAAGGGAATTGTATATGTCTGGGTTGGTAAGAAAGCAGATCACAAAGAGGCCCAAATAGCTGAGGATATTGCCTATACAATGTACAAGGTGAGGATAATCTGTATTTTAAGTTAAATACAGTTTCAATAGAAGTATGACAAAATTATAAGCTTACATCTTTTAATCTAGAGAAATGTTATATTTAATGATAAAAATTGGTGATGAAACTGTTCATTAATAATTTTTCAAGGATGGCTTCACAATTCAAATGATTAATGAAGGAGAGGAGCCTGAGAACTTCTTCTGGGTCGGTATAGGTGGGAGAAAGGCATATGATGAGGTAAGATTATTTTTTATTTTCCTTTATTCTAAAAACTGGTGTTTACCTTTTTTGGTCATGGCACACTCTTTAGTGTTCTAGTAGCACATCTACCTGATTGCAGAGGCATGCTGAGGGCATTTGGTGCCCTTGGCAAGAACTGAATTTGTGCTCATATCAAGCTTGAGAAATCTATTTTTATATAATTAAGATTTTGTACAAAAAATCAGATCAAATTTCATTAGAATATGAATAGAGATAATATTTTTATTCCTTTAAACTAAAAATTATGCTTTGCTAAAAAGTATTTCCAAAATTTCTGTTAGGCTTGCCCATTTTGCGTTCCTTTCAAGCGCTTTGTTGTACTATGCCTTGGTATGCCTCTGGTCAGAAGTGTATCTATCCAGCACTGTGGTTCCCATTCAGACTCCATTTCAGACAAGACCCACTTATTGGCGAATCGACCCCCATGAAAAACATTATATTTATTTTTAAACGGAACATCTTCCATGCGTCATTTACCTGTTAATATTTTGATATACGACTTATTAATTTTTAAAAATTAATTTAATTCTCAAATAAAGTGCCTAAAGGGCTCCCGTAGATAACCAGCCCATTGCAGGGGGCCAGAAAATTTTTGTAATTTGCATGAGCCATTGCTCAATTTTGGGGCTACTTTTAAGACTTTGTAATGCATAATTAGGGAGCCTGTTAAAATGCCTTTTAAAGTGAAATTTACAGGATAGAAAAAACGAAGTGTGTATACGGTAAAAGTGTGTAATTAGTGCAGTGTAAACTGCATGTGTGTTGTGAATGAGTGTTGTGAATAATTATTGAATTAAATAATGATATTAGGAGGCTATTATTGCAAATTCCAGAGATAGGCTTTTCTGGCCAAAGAATCTTAAATCTTCAGCATATAAATCAGTTTCTGGATTGAAAACAGCACACGATTATTAAAAAATGATCTCACCATAGTATTTCCTAAGTTTAAAAAAGTTAAAACTTCTGAGTACATTAACAAACAAGAAAAAATTTAAAATATGGTTTCTTATATTTAATTTCATAAGTTGCTTTAAGTAATAAATTATTATTTTAATTCATTTTCATATCAAATTAAATTAGCAGGTTAACAATAAATCTTTAATAACAAATCATGACACTCTTTTGTTACTTTTTGTTTCACTGGTCTCATTTGTATTGTCTATCATGTCCTGAAGGACTTGCAGTATGTTTTCAAGGTGCTTATTGACAGGATATATCGCATCTGTCCCTGCTCTCCACTTAGTTTTAGACTATTACTTTACAATCACGGGGGTGGCATTTTTAGGTCTCAGTAAATTCTGGCGTACAGTGAATGCCATGAGGTGGATAAATTCATTCTGCACATCAGGGGAGAGATATGGTGTGAATCTCATGGTCTTCACGAGAGGGTTAAAAACAGCCAGTAGTTTCAATTAGCCAAGAAAATGTCCCACATTGGAGCCATGATCATCTTGCTGAAGTGATTCTCTGTGTCCATGCAAAGCTAGATTTTGAGTTGCAAGTAATTAATATCACACCACTTCTGGCTTACTTGACACACCCAAGGTACACCACTGCCTGATTTTTATCTGACACCTGGCATAAGTTGTCCTCACAGTGCTGCCTACAAGCATGGCAGGAGGCATCATTATAAACTTTTTGGGAAGAGGGTTTTGCCGCGGGCGCGACATTTACTTGTCATTGCCCTGCTTACATGACTTGATTAAACATTGTTAAAATAATGATGATAAACTATACAGTTAATACAGTTAGTTATGTGGAGTGAAAACCTTTGATAATCAAATGGCAATAACATTTTCCAGATATCAAACTAAACACAAAGACAAACTTGTCTGTCTCTGTATTTTTGCTGTCAACCTCTTTTTGGCCCAAAAGTCCAATTTTTTGTAATGTCCTTCAGGTTTTCCCTTTACCCTGCTTTAAGTTTCTCTTCTGCTTTTTTCCCACAGGATTATTCCTTTATGCACTATGCTCGATTGTTCAGATGTTCCAATGAAAAAGGCTATTTTACTGTTTCGGAAAAATGTGCAGATTTTTGCCAGGTACCAGTTTAACCATTATCCTTTATAACTTAAAACCAGGGGATGTGCTATTTATTACATTTTTTTTTATTTGAAAAGAAAATATATTTTTACATTATAAATAGAATGCCTTATAAATTAAACAAAGTTACAATTAACACTTGCAATCTCATTTTGATTTAATTTTTATTGGTTATATTATTTCATAGGACCTCAAAATAATCACAGGGACCAAGCAGTTTCTACTTCAATGTCTGTGGCTCACATTAAAAATATATATCACACATATTTGATAATAACCTCAAGTTAAAGACATACTGTCAAATAATAATTAAAGAAAATTTTGAGTTGCCTTTAAAATTCATAAATGCACATTTGAATATCCAGGATGACCTTGCTGATGATGATGTCATGATTTTGGATAATGGGGAGCAAGTATACTTGTGGGTGGGCAAGAAAACTAGTGATGTTGAAATTAAACTAGCTTTTAAGAGTGCTCAGGTCAGTATGAGTTTTACCTATCAACTTATCTTTAAAATAATGAATTTCTTATTTGTAGATTCATTTTTATGTGCATCCTTTCTTCCCATTAAGTGGTTTAAAATTAACTAATTTTGCTTAATTACTTTATTTGGCTCACACCCACCCCTTTTTTTATGGGGTGAAAATAAAAAATTACTTAATTGCCTAATGTCAGGCTAAAATTTTAAATACTGTCTTTTTGTTTTGGGAGACTAATGCTTTTTCATATTTCTAATTTATTTTTAGTTTACTGATAATTCTGCTGAGTTAATATATAATGCTAAAGAACTTCTACGACTTATCTTAAATATTCACTAATTTGTTTAATTTGATCTATTTTAAAAACATATTTTTATGGACAGTACCGCACCTTTAGAAAAATGTTGATTAATTTAATCTCTTTATGTCAAAAGGTTTACATCCAACATCTTCGGAATAAGCAACCTGATAAACCAAGGAAGCTCTTGCTTGCTATGAAGTACAAAGAAAACAAAAAGTTTATCAAGTGCTTCCATGGGTGGGGCAAACACAAAGAGGTCAAGGATTTCAAAGCATTGTTGCCTACTATTTATTAATGAACTTATATAACCACATTTACCTTAACTAATTCTTCAACCATCAAAGAAAAAATGCCATAACTGGAACAAAGTTTCATTTAAAATGTTTATAAGACTTTGATTACTTTTGCCCCAAGTTGTGTTCCCCATTTTTTGCAATGAAAAGATAATTTGCAGTGTGTAAACATTTTGTATTTTTCATCTAATGTAACATGCAGGGAATATCAACCACTGAACCCTTGTAAAAATAAAATGCTGTTTTTTTTTTCTATTAAAATTATTTTAGACAAGATAGTTATTTGTTTTACTTTAAAGCTTTCTGTTCACACTATAGTCTTTTAAAAACTAGAAGATACTGAATGTTCAGGAATTATTTTGATTTTTCACTGGCAATAAAAGAACATGTTATTTTAAAATATTCTTCTCAACTGTGATAGGCAGTGCAGTCTGCTGGACTCTTTAGTTTTCTGTTGATACTTTTACTATAATTGTATATAAATATTTGTATTAACTCATCCCTAGCTTATGTGGTGCATTTTATGGTGCTAACTGTATTTCTTAAAATGTTGCTTTTTGTGATATGCATTCAAGGAATGAGACATTTAAAGTTTATCAAAACATTGTCCAAAGTTAATTTCATCAAGCTTTGTCTAATTTTTATTATTGATTGTAATAAGTAATAAGTTAACAAAATTATTTATACAGATTGTTTACAACAATGAAATGTTTTTTGACTCCTGCATTTCATTTCTAATTATGCTATTGCTTAACAGAATAAACAAAAAGAAATGCTCTTGGTAGTTTTAAATAAGATATCTTTTTATGGAGTGCAAGCAGATGTTTGTAAAAATCATGACGTGCCTCATATTGTATACTTTTTTTTTTTAATCAGCACTACAAAATAATTAAAGACGTGCATAGAGTTTAAAAGCAATAAAATTTGTTTATTCATTTGCTAACTAAAATAAGTTTTTTAGTATTATCATTTAATTTAATAAAATCATAAGATAATTTGTTTCTTTAAAATTATGATTACTGTGTTTCGGTTTTAAAATCAATTAATACACTTACTGAAACAATTAACATTCTTAATCATTAAGAAACATTGACTAGTTCACTACATATCAAGTTAATTCAAATGGAGTGAATTGAAGTTAATAAAAACAATGTATTTCCTATAATATTTTGTTTTTTTATTTTATACACATTACTAAATTACAAAAAATTATACAAATAATTATAAAATAATATAATTTTGTTTGTCTTTCCTTGATTATTAATTTTTCAGTTTGTGAATTAAATCACAATTTGAATAAATATTTTGAAAAGCCCATTTACTAATGAAGTAACTAGCAAGTGTATGCAGCTGTTTGGTGAAGGAAATGAAGAAGAAGTTGTTTTAAAAAATTGATTGATTTTGTTTAGCCACTAAACCAGTATATCAGGATTGTGTTTAGCCACTATATCATCACTAAAAGGTACCTTGTGTTATGAAATTTTAAAAAACTATATTTTTGGAACTTTGCAGACCAATCATATATATATATATATATATATATAAAAAAGTAAAGTGAAAATTTGTTTGTGGCTTTGTTCGTCATAAATTTCTACATAGATATGCTAAATTGCGTATTGTATAGGTGTGTGTTCAGAGGAGAACATTTTAATATTTTTCTTAGCGATGTGTTGTGTACTAGCCTGTTAATTTTGAGCTAAAACGCTGTAGAATTTTTTTTCCTTTTCCGAATGCAATCCCAGGCTACGCCAGGTCTATTGGCTAGTCTATGTATAAGCCAGACACGTGGGACGAAAAAGCAAAGGATCGAAAATCATGGCGTCCCACTTTACTCAGCAGCTCCATGCAACATGAAGCTGGAAGAACAGCGGTTGCAGAGCGCAAGAGACATGCCAGGAAGGCCCGGTCTGACTCTGCTTTCGGAGATGCCCCATCATTCCCCTGCACCTACTGCACAAGAAAATTTTGTGCCAGAATCGGCCTCATTAGCCATCTGCGCACCCACACACAGAACTTATAGCACAAATCTGATGATTGAAGTGATCATGGTCGACTCCCGACTGATGAACTACAACAAACGAACAATAATGTATGTCCCGTATGCGCTCCTATACAATTCATCCGATTGCAATAAAACTTTGGTGAGTTGTTGTCCACAAGCCCGCAAATTTTAATTGATTATTACAACCATTTTACAATGTTCCGTTCTGGGCCGGGGTTCCTAAATTGTTTTGTTTTTTTCTAATATGAGCTATGTAAATAGAATTTCATTTCTGGGGCTCCTGTACTGAAGTGTTACATTTACTTTTTGGAGGCCCCGGCAAGTAATATACAGGCCTGCGAATCTGCTGGGCTGTGTCGCAAATTAGACTGTCAACGTGGTTGACTGGAAACACCCCAGCCACACCATTCGCTAGCGCCGAGCACTCGGCTAGTAGGTGCTTGACCGTCTCCGGCGCCTGTCCACAGTGACAGCAGCTCGGTCCCATTAGTGGGTGCAACCTATTTAGGTAGCTACAGGTAGGGCAATGCTCTTTCCTCATCTGTGTGATGAGGCTCTGCTGGTAGCCTTTAAGACCCCACCATTGATCGCCCTTTCGGTTTGTTCTAGGCATATTCCGGTAAAGTTTTCGGATTGTTGATCCTTTTTCTCATTCTTTAAGCCATTCCCCCCCAATTGGGTCATTGGCCTGTTTGGTTGCGGCTGGGTAGAGCCTTGTCTCGCTAGAAAGTCAGCTCAACCTTGTAAGGGGATCCCCGCATGTTCTGTGATCCATTAACGGGTCACTTCGCCCCCGTGAGACTGTATGTCTCGTACGAACTCCAAAATTGCATTGGCCATTTTCGTGTCCAAAGAGTCCTATTCACAATTTCCGGATTTCGAGAGCACATTGTGAGTCGTTGAACACTACGATGGATGGAAGTGTTTTACGTCTGGCTAATCTCAGTCACGCTTGTTTCAGGCCCATTAATATGGCTTAGATTTCTGCGTCAGTTGACGAGCTAGTAGTACCGCATGGGTCTGAAATCTCCTCAGTTGGAGGTACCCCCTTTGGGTACTGGATGAGTGCCCCGTAGCCTGCCTGCTTCACGATGGCGAGATAGGAGCCGCCTGGGAAGACTTTAACCACAGCGTCTTTATACGACACGATAGACTCTAGTGCGGCCTCCTTTTGCTCAATTTGGGGTCTCGGCTTGTTAAATGCTGCGTTTTCCATGGTCAGACGCATATCCGGCGGTTCGGAACCGCCCTGTGGTGATCGCTCCGGGATCATGCGTATTTTCTCCCTGTTTCGTGGTTAAGGGTGATTATTCTCAAGTGAATGGACCGCATCCATAAAGGAGGGTCTTTTTAGCCTTGTCCGCTTTACCCAGCGATCTTGTAATTGGAAACGGAACTTAGGATGGTCATGTCCCGCCGTATGCTGAGTGGTTCTGTCTGATAGGATTTCCACATCAATCACGGGTTTAGTACGGAACGCCCCGCATACAAACCTGAGAGCCAGATCTTGTATCCTGTCCAGACCCCCTAAGAGCCGTTCCGCTTGCAAAGGCCTGCACAGGGAGGCTGGAGTCCAGGGCACCTCTTACGCTCCCGAAATAGAGTGCTCTTCCGTTGCTGGATGGATTAGCCAGAGCTCCAGATCGACAAATCATCTGCAAACATTGTTTTCTTCGTTACCAATAGTGAGTGCAGATCATACACATACGCCAGGACCAGGGTGCAGCCCAAGGCCAACCCCTGTGGGAGTCAGGCCTCGACTGCACACATGTCCGAAACCTTGTCTCCGACACGGGTGGATATAGTACGGTTTGAAAGAAAAGAGTGAATCCACCGGTGCATGTTGGCTGTTACTCCGAGAAATTGTAACTTATACAGTAGACCTGTCCTCCAGACTTTGTCGTAAGCATTCTGGAGATCAAAGAAAACTGTGACCGTATGATTCTTCATCTGAAGCTCATTTGTGGTACTTTTGATAAATTGTATTACCTGGTTAATTGGCTGACTCCCCTTTCGGAAGCCGCCTTATTGGTTGGAAAGCTCTTGATTCGTTCCAAGAACCAATACAATCGTGCGCTGACCATTCGCTCCGCTACTTTTCCAGCACTTGATGTGAGGGAAATAGGCCGGTAGCTCGACGGTTGGTCGCTTGGTTTACCCTCTTTAGGAATTGGGATAATTATCGCTCTTTGCCACGCCTTTGGCAAGACGCCCGTTGTCCAAGTTTTAATTATAAGGTTGAGTAATGTAATTTTTGCTGCTTTGCGCTCCCATACCATTGATCCGATTGCGATAAAACTTTTGTGAGTTGTTTGTCACAAAGGACTGGGGTGGGGGTACAGGACAGAGCTCTATGGTTGTTAAGGTAACTTAAAGGATGGCAGAAACTGCTGTTAATGTGGTCAAGTTAAAGTTAATAGTCTCTCACATCTTGAGATAGAGAGGATTGTTTCTTTCCATAATATTATGTTCGGGCCTTCCTGACTTCGCATGATAATTTTTGGGTTAACGACGGGAAATTCTAATTGAACGGCAATTAGGGGCAGGGATGTCGTAATTGAGGGCATTCCAAGGCCACCTATCGAGTTAGAGAATCGCATATAAGACATAACTTTTCAAGATAGGAGGTTAGTTGAGGAATAGAGAAAAGAGCTACGATAGAGTTGAGGAAGAGAGAGAAAAGAGCATAGAGGACAGTAGATAGGGAATAGTTGCTAGAGATCAGGAACATAGAAATAGTTGAGACGAAACAGTTTAGAAAGTCATAGCTTTAGAGATAGACAGTTGACAGCGGCACCAACAGAAGAACTTATGACACGCTTTCATTATCGCTAAACACCTGGAGTTTGAGTTGGTGGATTTCGTTCAAGTCTACGTCTGTCCCAACGCCTAGACACCCACAATATAATCACAGAGAGGAGCGGTTCTGTACTGACCACTACTAAGTCAACACAGTTTGTGGTAAGTCAGTACCGGAGCCCTCCTCCGTAACAACCGTTCTGTGACATTGTTGTGCCGCACACGCCCGCAAACGTTTCTGATTTAGTCCAACCATTTACAATATTCCGTTTGAGACCGAGGGCCCTAAATTCGTTTTTTCTTATATGAGTATGAGCTACATAAATATAATTTCCGCATGCGTTCAAACACTAGTCGTTCGATTGCGAAAAACTTTAATGAGTTGTTGTGCGCACGCACGCAAATGGTTTCTAAGTTAGTATAACGATTTTAAATTTACAATGCTCTGTTTTTGGCCGGGGCCCTAATTTCGTTTTTTTTTTTCTAATATGTATGAGCTATATAAATATAATTTCCGTAAGTTTTCCTATACTAAGTTATTTAAACTATACCATTCACCAGATTGCGATAAAACTTTGGTAAGATGTTGTGCGCACGCCTGCAATAGTTTCTAATTCAATCATTTTAATTTTACAATATTCAGTTTGAAGCCGGGGCCTGTAAATTCGTTTTTTTTAATTATATGAGCAATATAAATATAATTTCAAAAAGAACCATTTCATGGGTGGATCAATCGCTGCAAGTGTGTGGAATAAATTTTGAAAATCCTTAGTAATTTTATACTTATAATAATAATATCATAAATATGAATATGGACAGCTGTATTGTATAGTATATTGTCATTGATTGTATGTGTGGCATGCTCACACTCGCGTCGAAAAATTCTAATTACTTCTAATTACTAATTTATTCGTGTACGCACCATACTTACCATACGGACAAAATAATTTCTCAATATAAAAAGTAATTCAAAAAACATTAATTAAAATACAAACAATATCCTTCTCAGTGGCATTGCAACGTAGGCCGGATACTCGCTAGTCATTAATAAACCTGTAACTTTAACCCACCTACTTTTGTACATACGATGTGAAACCATGGCAACAGAGTGAAGTGAACGCCCATTTATCATGCGAAACTTTTCTTGTAAAAATAGATTTTAATTTTCATTACGCAAATTTTATACACAATTTACTGATATAATTCTTTTTTTTTCAACCACTAAAGATACTACGTATAAATGTGATGATGAGTTTTAATATTTAGTTCGAAACTTTTTTTTCTACCTTCATTATACCGTTTGATGACGCCTTCGTTAGAAATTATGGCTACCAGTACTGTGCCCAGCTAATCTAACGGGTTAAAACATTCTTCCGCATATATTTTAAGATTTGCAGGTTCTATACATTTTCACGAATGACTAAATACGTTGATTACGGGGAGGGGAATTATAAATCCGACAGACAGTTATCCTCAACGTCTTATAGAGACACAAGAAGGACAAATAGTAGTAGTAGTGAAACTGGTCATTTCGGTGGATTCAGAGTTTACGTTGGTGATATAGGCCAACGCATTGGGAGAACTGATTTAGAAAGAGAATTCGGACAATATGGACCTGTAACAGATGTTTGGATGGGAAGAAAACGCGAGCCGTAAGTATACTAATTTCAGATGGAAATTATAAATATCTAATCTATCCCGCTATTTTTGGACCATTAATTAACCCCCCCCCCCCCACACACACCCCTTAATCTTGTGAAATTTTGTCACAAATTTGTAACTCAAATGAACCTTTTTGACCATTAATTAACCCCCCCCCCCCCCCACACACACCCCTTAATCTTGTGAAATTTTGTCACAAATTTGTAACTCAAATGAACCTTTATCATTATCACATAATAACTTCATTTCAAAAGGGATTTTTGAACTAATGTTGGTGATGCTCCTCTTGTGTTTTGTATGATCGAAATTTGAAGGTAGTGATTAATTAAGGGAATGAAAAAAAAATTTACCACTTTTACTTTTACTATTAGTAATATTACTAACTACAATTTTCAATATAAGTACATATAATTATAATAGGCTATAACCAATGTTCCCTATAAGCTGTGCGGCTGCGCTGCAGAGCTGCCGCGCAGATATCTCACAGACGCAGCAGTTTTGAGTATCCGCGCAGCAAATTTCCATGCAAGTGTGTGTATGTAGGTGTGGGGCTGTAAAATTTTGCATTCAAAAAAATTGATGCTGTAAAACTTTGCACACAACTGTATGATTTCGCTCACGAACCAGCAAACCTTAGAGGGAACATTGGCTATAACTTGAAATTTTCTGAAAGAATATTGCGTCCGGTAAATTTGGAGAGATCAGCTCGCGGCCACCACCTTGATTATCGCGACCCACGAACTTATGTCCTAAATGTATCCCTAAACCCAACCTGAACCCTAAATGTATCCCTAAACCTAACCTGAACCCTAATTAACGGCAGCTCTAATAAACACGCAAATGATGTCTCCTAATTAGCCTTGCGTCTAGTATCTCAAAAACATGATTTTATGATGGTTTGAACAATTTATGAAATATTCATAAAATGAGTAGTAAAATGTTACTCGCTCTTTAAAGGTCAAAGTCAAAATCAATAACAGACATGACATAAACGACATAATAGTTGATTTTGGGTTAGAAGTAAAGCTGGCACTGGCGATGTGTTCCATGGCATATTGGTTACCCCAGATAAACTTCCATTACAGCATTGTATTTAAAAGATTCTGATAATTATGTTTGTGTTCACTTAATTAATGCAAGTTTTTGTTTATTATATTTATATTATTATAATTTATATTTTTGAAATTAGTGGGAGGGGTTCTGGGGAAGATCCCTTTTGTTACTGAATTTTTAACATGCAGGTACTTCAATTTTCAACTAATCAAAAGTCAGCATTTTTAGCTCGTCTTTTTTTTTCATTGGTGTAGGGTCATGGGGCATCAGCAAGGATGTGTTTCTTTTATGATTTATTTTGACATGTGTAAGTTTAATTTTAATACAAATTAATGGAAAATTTCATTATAATGTTTTTCATATTAACCATACTGATAGTGAGATTTAGTTTATGCCGCCAGTAATGCTCAGTATAGAAGTAGAAGAGAAAAGTTAGCACACAGGTCCTAAAATTGATCTGTTCACCCTAAGTCGAGTGTTGGGATTTCCAAAGGGACGTCACTGCGCTTAGGGTGAAACAACTCTTGGCAAAACCTATACCCTTAACCCAAAATTACCAAACAAATTCTTTTCATACCACAAGATTTCAATAAGATACTTGTCCAATGTACTTTCAGAAAATGTATACTTGTGCCTCAGACTTCTTTTGGCATGGGCATGGGATTTTGTTTATTTTGACAATCGTATGAAATGCTAAAAATGGCTTGACACTACAGAAAAATTAACTGACATTTATAGGGTTAAAGATAAAATCAGAATTTCATTGAATGTGTGTAAAAAGAAATTATTTTACTGTTAGATTAAAAACTAAAATTTTTCAATATTTCAAGTCTTTAATTATAATTTGTAGGACTTCTCAGAATTATGCCTTTGTTGTCTATCGATACCCAGAAGATGCAGATGAAGCTGTTAGAGATAGAAATGGAAGGTGAGTTAATAGGATGCATTTGCTTATTTAGGTACAAAACATTTTATAGTATTGAAGTAAGTAATTATACTCATGGAAATTGATTGAAGACAAAAATTGGTTATTCACAGTGATTAGATTAGTAGTATCATACATTACATGGCAACTTGCAGGATCAAAAACTTTTCAAAAAGTCCCAAAACCTGTACAACGACATGAAAAACTTTACAGAAAAATGAAAAGTTGAACAACTTATAGTTAATAAATTTTTCATTTAATTTTCACTATTTTGAATGCATGCAATCTTTGCCTTTTTGATAATTCTGAATCTGTTTGAAAATGCAAACAACTAGTGCCATTGTTAACTTTTACATTGTAAAAAATAAGTGATTGTTTCACCATTTAAGTCTAATTCTTCTAACAGTCTTTTTTATTTTAACATTGAGAATGATTGATCACAAACTGCAATGCTGTGAGGCAAGGTCAGCGATTATAAATATTATATATAAGTGGAGAGATTTGGATATCTCAGCTTCTTACAGCTTGTTATCTGATGCATCACACCAAGTTTGCCATATTTGGCTCAATTTAATCTGTTTAGGTCCGCCTATGAACTGTGATGCACCCTCCTTGCCCTGCCTCATTTTCTGTCTCGGGTTAATCCTGTAATATAGGCCAAAACGTGCCAAAGTGTCCTCGTTTTATAGCCATTTTAATTGTTTCTATAGTATAGTAGTTACTATCCTATTGTCTCATTTTTATTTTACTTAGTTTACATGTTTTTAATAATTGTAAAGAGCTTAGAGCCTTAAGGTAAGCGCTATATAAAAATGCCTAAATAAATAAATAAATTTCGGATGTTGGAAGGCTTCCACTGGTTCGCGACAAATTCCAACTTTCTTTTTTAAAATTACATTTAGCCATTTATTTGGAAGTTTCCAGCTGGAGTAAAATAAAAAAAAGAAGTTTATATACAATTCTTATTGATGTTTTACAACAAAGAACCACCTGCTTTAGTCTTAGAAAGTGTTAACATTAAAAATAAGTCAAGCCGTAGTAATAAATAGGCATGAAGACAAACTCTATTCATTGGTGTGATATTAAATATTTAAACTATTTAATAGAAATATTAAATATTTAAACTATTTAAGACAAATCAAATGAACACTTACCGACCCTGCAGTTCTTGCTAAGAATTAAAGAAATGGATTACTACCAAATGAAAGTTTCTCAAAGTAGTTACTACCGTTCAAGCATGTCTATTTATGAATGATTTGGATTTGGATGATTTTGGTAAAAGCTATTTTACCTAGATAAGCCCATATTCTTTATTAGGGCTAAAGATAATTTTAATTAATTAATAGGATATAAGCTTCCATTTGATAACATTTTCATACAAATACAAATAAGTTGATACAAATTTGGAAAATGTAAAAAAAAAAAAGGTTCAAAATACAGGTAAATGGTATCACTTGGTATGTGTGAGTAGAATGCATTGTTAACACTTTATTGTTTCTAAACGTTTTTCATTTTTATAATAAAATTTATTTTAAAAATAAATATCAGAAAAGTGTGTGGTCGCCAAGTACGGGTAGAGCACGCAAAACCAGTAAATAGTAATCCCCGTCGCCATAGAGGTAGCTGGGATTATAGAGGAAGAGGTGATTATAATTCTTCAAGAGGAGGAGGCCAACAGCGTCGTAGGTCAAGAGAGAGATACAACTCAAATAGAAGGTGTGTACTTATGTTGTGTTCAGCTTACTTTGTGCTTGTTTTATTTGTTATATTCATTTGACGTTTTTATTATTGATTTTATTTTACTTTTTATTTTATTGTGCTAAATGCAAAAAAATAAATAAAAATAAAATCCCCATTAACTACAAGATCAGTATTCACCAAACTAAATTGTTGTACAGCACAACATTTTGTTGTATTTCTTAATTTAATGCCAATGAAAAGTAATCATTAATGTTTTATTCAGATTTTAAACTAAATATTTGAAATGAATTACTTCAAATTTTTTGTTTTTCCAAAAAAATCATAATTGAACACATGGAAAAAATAATAATTAACGGCTTGAATAAAAATTCTGATTACTTTGCATGGTTTTCTTATTATTTTATTTGGAAGTCGTAGAGAATTGCAGGAAATGCTCTCAGATTAGAGAAGTCTTATTACAATGATATGAATGGGATTTTGCATTTCAATACATATTCACAGCTATAATGTATAAGGTAATTTGATTAGAAATTCACTGACAGAGATTATGATAATTTGCTTGATGTCAATGTTGGCTGTGGTGTTTCTAAATAGGATTAAGTATAAATAGAATTAAGGTGTTTTATTGGTGATAGTTAAAATTTTATAACTTATCTTTGGTCTCTGTAATTTAATTTGTTGTCCTGACACATTTATTCAAGGGGGCATCCATTCTGGCCCATTGTTTACATCAGCCTGCAGCTGCCTAGAAGTCCAGAGAGGTTGTTGGATCGTATCGTTAGCACCCATACGTTTGGTTACGAGCTAGCAGAAAGTTATCGATTGAGATCCTGTTTCCCTTGCTGAGTGGTCGTTAGGTCCCCCAAAACAGCCGTATCGTTGGCACTGCTTCCTAAACTACCAATAGGTAGAATCGAGCAAGCGAGGTGTCAGTCACGATGGTCTAGTTCCGAGTCGATGGCTTAATTACAGATGATGGGCAAGTTGGACGAGCGTTATCAATCCACTTCCTGATGTGGTCAAAGATCATTTTGCTCTCCTCCGCGCTTAGGACTGTTGGCTGTATAAGCAAGACAGAACCTAATGTCCAGTCCAGGCACAAAGCGTTCTCCATGGTCGTTATTTGCTCGAGGGCATTCAGTTCTCCTGAAGTTAAAAACAAAGTCATGGGGTAATGTGTATGAAATTGTTGGGTAATATAACCCTGTATAGCTCTTGTGTAAGATTTCTGTTCCATATGCTCATTTGCATTTGAATTTATATTCTGTCTTAAGTGTACTTTTTCATGATGTACCTGTCAGACTCCTGAAATCAATAATGTATTTTGTTAAAATAATATTTTTTTTTTGGAAAGTGTGAAAATTTAAAACAAGCTGTCGGTAATCATAATCATTCTTTCCATTTTTTACTTATGTCAATATGATTTTACTGTTCATTTAAAAAAAAAATAGCTCTCATGTTTTGGCTTCTTTTTTTGATATCTAGAATCTAAATAAAATTATAAGTAATGTAGATAAATAATAGCCTATACATATGATTAGATCATAATTTAATTTTTAGCTATTTACAGTACCAAAAAAAATGTACAGAAAACTTGCAAATTAACTATACATAATTTTTTTTTAAAAACGTTATTTTACCCATTGCATATCAACAAAATTTAATTTATTTGAGTAAACTTACATTAAGCTTTCCATTAACAAGAAAAATTATATTGAGTATTAATTAAATTTTTGTATCCACTTTCTCAGATCAAGATCTATTAGTCCAGTGAGGACCAGCAGAGGCCAACAATCTCCAGGGTCAAATAGGCAATGCTCTCATTTCTCTTATAGATTGTAAAGAATATCTTGCTAAAAATACTTAATAATAAAAAGATAGGCATTTTTTTCAAAAAAAAAGTTTAAATTTAAAGCGTTTTGTAACAGTATATATATTGTTTCACCCGACAGCATTATTAAAACTAATCGCTGATTTCCTTTTGTGTTTTCAATAATTGTTTATGTTAGGTAGGGCAGAAATAAAATAAGTAAATTTTACAGTTTTCAGAATTATATAATTTAAATACTGTTAAAATGTGTATATTTTTTTCCTTAACAGGCATGACAGTTTCAGTGATTCTTCCCCCAAAAAATCCAGAAAACGTTCAGCCTCTAGCTCTCCTGATCCTAAACTTAAGTATGTTCTTTGTTTATTTCAGAGGAAATATTCTTATAACATTTATTGTCTCAACTGAGTAGCTACTAGTTCAAAGCATAAGTATGGAGTTGTACTCTCTTCAGCATCAAGATATTTAACTCATTCCCGGCGGTTGCTACTAAATGTGTCCTTTGGGGTTTTCAACGGATATGTCCCAAATGCGTCCCGGCGCATAGTGACACACTTCTCATTTCATTTAAAAATAGCAAAGAAATCTCACATCATTCGAGACATCCGGCAATGGCGTGGTTCAGCGTGATTTCAATTTAAAAACCGGAAATCTTATTTCACTTTAAAGCTACGTGTACTTTAGTATCATGTGTTTGTCTGAGGTGCCGAAAATCAATTTTTTGGTCATTGTTCGTTATTTTTTGCTGCTAATGTTATATTTATATTTGACATTATTCATTTTTTGTTGCATTTGTTCTTAATTCATCAACATTAAATAATATTTAGCAGCTTAAATAAATATTTTACAAATGTAAATCAATTGCAAAATGGAGTTTCTTCCCTTCGCAGGCATATAAATTAAGTATGGAAGTAGCACTGCTGTAGGGAATGAGTTAAACAATGTTTAGGTGTTACAGTAACAAACTTGTAATGAGTTATAATGCAGATTGGTGCTGTCTTTGTGGCATGTTAACTTGGGAAATGGCAAATGTGAAATGAAATTTCTTAACTTACATAATTTTGCCTATGCTTAAACTGAAGATATTTCTCATGTATGTATTTTAAAAGTTAAAGTCTATGTGCTTCAGTTTTTGGACATATAAATCTTATTTTTTTTCTTTATCCAAGAAAATCAAAGAAGTCCAAGAAAGAAATATCAGTTACCCCCTCGCCCTCACGACAGAACCAGCAGATCCAGGACTCTGATTCGGGAAGCCTCTCCTCCACTCCACCCCCAAAGAAGAAGAAAAAGAAGCCAAAGCAGCGAGGACACTCTTCATCTCAGAGCCCTCAAGCCAGTGATGAATATGATGCAAGGCAGTACCAAAAGTCACAGGTTTGTTACAATGTTTTGCAAACATTTTTCTAGCATTATTAAACAGCAATATTTTCAATTTTTAAATAAAATATGTCAAAATTAATTTTATTTTCAGGATGGAAGAGGAGATGGGAGAAAAATAAGACCTGCCAAGAACAAAAATAAAACTAATTATGATGGAAATGATGGCTACAGTAGCGATGATAATTAATTTTCAAAACTTTTCTTAACTGCTTTATTTGTATTTTTGTGCACTTTTTTTAGCAAATGCTATAAATATATTATTCAAACAAAATTAATGTGACCAAACTATATTGAACTAATAATTTAAGGGTAAGAGTATTAACAAAATTGTAGCTGTTCAAAGCTTAAAGAATCTCATAAATCAACTAATATTTGTGTTGAGTTTGTTTAAAAAGTGGTCCAGATTTTTTTGCTTCTTGCCAATGTAAAAAATAATTGTCTTACTGAACACTTCATTCTATTATAATGTATAAAAAAGTTATTTTTTATTTTGTTGCTTATGTAAACATATGAGAAAAGGTATCGCTGGAACATTTTTATTAAATTGAAGCCATTAAACAATGCCTTTGTCAGAGTTAACTTAAACTTTTAATATTGCTTAACTTCTTGCTTTGAATAAACACATCAATATTACTGGCTACGAACAATGGTACCTATAGTCCAGAAATGAAACAGTACAAGCGTACCCCTACTTATGTTAACTCTTGTTCCTTTGAGTGTGATCTGGTTACCGGTACTAAAAGCACTGTCATGTATTTAAAAAAATAACAGATTTTTAAAAAATTTTATATTAACTCCAAAACCTTAAGATATTGTTATCTCATCATTGTATTATAATTGGTTGAGAAGTGGATATTGTTTTATTGTAACTGATAAATTATAAATGTAAGTACTCTGTGTTGGTCAAACTTGGCAAATATTTACAGAGGGGCTACTCCAACTATAGTTTAGACCAGGGGTGGGCAACCTTTTTGTGCAGAGAGCAGCATGATAATTATTTTTTTGGCAGGCCACATGATAAGTTTTAATATACATTTTGAAGATAGACTATTCACTCTGTATTCATTTTGAAAAGAAGCAGTGGAATACATATGAAGGGCTCAAGGGAAAAACCAGTGATGTCAGGTTTTGAGAAAATTGAATTTCAAGTTTGAAAATTCCTCATAAAAGTATGAAAATATCAAGATGTCTACGTATTTATTTATTGAGTACGTATTTATTTATTGAGTATGAGTAGGCTGCTTTTTCAGTTGGACTTATGAATCATATTATTCTATTAAATGGAATGTAGCCACAAGGGAGATAACATGGAAATTTTGAAAAACTGACATCACTGGTTTTTCCCTTGAACCCTTCATATACATTTGAATTTGATTATTATTACAGTTGTATTTTATATAGTATTACTAATTTTCAAAGGCTTTTACAGAGAAAAATTCAGTTTGTACATTTGAATCCGCATATAGCCTGAGGTCTGTAGATTGCCCACCCATGGTTAGATTCACCTGCATCATCAAATTAAAATATGCTTTATATATCAATAAAACAAAATTTAAAAAATATGAATTTTCATGAAATAAGCTCATGATGGAAAGTTTTTTCCATTTGTGGACACTTAAAAATATGTTTCATTTAGCTATAACTATAAGTTATAACACCTCCAGTTCCATTTTATGATATGGTGGAGCCATGTTCCAATATTTGTATGGTAGACCCATGCTGTTTTATACTCATAAAAACTGGAATGCAAAATGGAGAGTATGAAAATAATGTTTTGTATATGTATATTTGCTTGAAAGTTCAAATTATTATTGCATGTGATTTTTTTTCTCTTTTAAATTGAAGTAAGTATGCACTGCATTACTTATCTGTCAAACCAATGGTTATTCATTTTTTAAAATTAAAATGATCATTTTTATTTATTTTTTCAATTTTGTTGCATACTCTTTCTAGTTTTTTGATTTGCAATTCAGGTGGTTGTAAAGTTTTACAAGCAAATAATATGATGGCTATTGTATGGGGTGTAATTTAGAACCAGCCCACATTATAGTCATTATTAATGATTTCATTTAGCCCCATTTTCAGTCAATTTCAGATAGTTGATTTAAAATTAACCATGAAGGCTATTGATCAAATATTTATTTACAATCAATCAAGACTATAAAGTATATTGAAATCAGTCACAATGCTTGATAAATTTAGCACAGTCATTATTCAGCAATACAAAAGTTGTTACATATTCACAGTATATTTTACAAATTATACGCATCTTATTAATGTTCAGATAAAAATACTATTCAAAGCAGAGCTATGGCTTTTAACAATTTTTATGTCAAACACATGCAATATACATGGAGTTTTCTTTTAAAAAGTGATGCTTTTTAATTAAGACAGTTTCAGGTAATATTCCCAGTGTTTGAAAAAAAATTGCAGGGCATGTTAAAATATCTTAATATCTTTCAAAGATACTATGTATATAACACTGAACAATCAACATTCAAACTAAAATTTTATAAGCTCAAAACAGAAATTATGTTGCAATGTATTTATAAGTGTAAATCTGTTTTAATCTTTTATTTCAAAAATCAGATTCAACCTTTAAGTCCCGGTGTAAATATAAATACTTCCTAAAAATTGGAACTGATCTGGAAAAAAATGGCTTTGTCTTGATCATACTTGATGTCTATACGCTTAGGCTCAGTCCTGACTAGATTATCACATCAATTTTAAAATGTATGTGAACATCATAATTATGATCATAAGAGAAAAATATGGTAATACATTTTCATTTAGTGTATGCATACACAATGAAGTTAAGGAATTTTTAAAAAATTGGTAGGTGTAAACAAAACTAAATCAAATATACTACATTTTAGATAGTGAATGATAAACGTAAGATTACCAAATATTCAAATGGCGAATCATTTTAAATTATGCACTTTGTAATGGCCCTCCTGACTTAAAGCAATTTCAAAATACATTTAATACCTATTTAGTGCCCAATATAAATGTATTTAATAATGTGCTTTGCATTTAATTCCAAATTTTAGGCTTAGTCAATCATAAAAATGTTCCATATAGGTGATTTAGTGCATTTAATTGTTTTAGCATATTTTATCTCAAATAGTGATTAAGTGGCTGAGCAACATCGAAACTATTTTATATGCGTGGAAATGAAATCAGAATCTAAATGCAATCACAGCAAAAATAAATTAACACCACATTATTTACAGGGATTAAACAAATGTATTGAATTAAGTAGGTACATGAATAAAATGTTATATCTCAGCCAATCATACATTCATTTTTATTTATTGACTGACTTTTATTTCAAGTCAGAAATTACATTTTCATTGCATTATCCTCATAGCTTTGCCAGACTAAGCCACCAGAGTTAGTACTAGCATATATTTAAGTCACAGAGGCGCAACTGTGTTAAAAAAAACTCAACTCATTGTGAAAGTTTGTAAAACAGTATTTGAGATTTTTTCAAAAACCAATCCTTTCAATGAAGTATCTCTGTTTTCTTTCATTTACTGTAAAATTAACATTTAAATCCATGTCAATTTCTGAATTAAAATCTGCTTTACACAAGACATTGTATTATATTTTTAATCAATCTCCTACAAATATTTATTTATATTGTCATTTTAAAATATAAGCTATAAGTTAGAATTTTTAAAGATAAAGCCAATTACTTTGACTGAATTGGATGCTCTTGTCAAAGCCAGCCATTTAATTCAAATACATCTTTCTTACAAATTGAGCATGAGTTGAAAAGTTAGTAGTGGAACTCCTCAAACAGTAATCCTAAGTAATAGAAGAATGATATTTTTTTAATAAATGTAGAAGAAATTGATTAAATTTAGCACTAAAACATGCTAAATAAACATTATTTTGATTATATGTAAATCATTGGGGGGGGGGGAGGAGAGAGAGAGAGGAGGAAAGAAATGTTAATGATGTTACAGAAGGTTATGTGCATAATGTGTCAGAAATGGTAAAATCTAAAATTTCATTAAATATGTATACTTGCTGATAAATTTACCTCTTTACTTAAGACCAGCAGTTTATCTTCTAACACATGAAATCCATGATGTAAATATCTATGACACAACATACAACTACTATTAATTTAAAAAAAATGTAAAGTAAGCAAATTATTATAATAATATGTAGGTATATTGTTAGAGCAACTGCTTTATAGGTCAGACACTTACACTAAGGTGAAATTCCCTAAAATATTTTAAATTAATTTTTTATTTATTTATATTCCCCACTTGTGACACAAATAGGTTTAAAAACACAGTATACTGCATGAAAACTTAGGTAGCTCATATTAAATGTAAAATTTCCGAAAATAAAATCTAAATATAGCACCAGCACTTAGGTCAAAATTACTCTGAACACTTTTCCTGACTTCTCAAAAACGTAGCCCTTTCATCCAGCAATAACTGGACTATAAGACACCCATGACTTCAAACTCTCCATTCACACCATATTTTTTCGACAACTGCTCCTCCTCAAATCTGTGGAGATCATTTGGGGCTCTGTTTTTCCACAAGTCAACTGACCGAGGACGTTCACTACGTTTGGATTTACCAGCCTGAGATTTCTGGTTGTTGAGCATTGCATTGGGGTGAAGTGGGACACGTGTTGGACGGCTTTGATCTTTGTACAATATACCATTGGCAGTGTTGTTGTTATATACATCTGGATGTGGAATAATGTTTGCAGCCAGCTGATATGGATGTATGAAATTGGGTTGAAGCTGCTGGCTCTGATGGTAGGGGTACTGAAGGGTTTGAGCTTGTTGAGACATTTGGGGGTGGTTATAAGATTTGATGGAGTTGGAAGAGTGGCTTTGTTTTACTTTGAATACAGGTCTGGAGATCATATTCTGCTGTTGGGTTTCTGCCTGAGGGAACACAGATTTCGCAGTGGTAGTATCTTCATTGTCATTAGTAGATCCACTGTGATGGTCACTTCCGGAGGCCATGATGGCATCACTGCTTGTGTGTTGACCATTGATACAGGTTGTTGCTGATGCATTGTTTTGTTGGTTATGGCCTTCACCACTGTTTTCCTCATGATTGTGGCCATCACTGTTGTCACTGGCAGAGCGGGACTGACCTGAGCTCTGAGTTCTCTTGTCTGCCTCAGGGTTTCTTGGCGAACTAAACCCACTATCAGACACAACAAGATCGGGGCCAATATTTGCTGCACCCACTTCTTGTCTCCTTACGACATGAACATTGCCACCAACATCTGGGTACGCCTGAGCTTCATCAGCAATCTTATTTTCCGCATCCTTCATCTGATCGTTCTCTGGATTTTCTGACTCACTTTCATCCTCAGTCTCATCCTCGTGATTTATTTCAACCACAGACTCATCCTGAGCTGGCCGATTTCCAAAGTGGTTTCTACTGTTAAATTCCACATGTTTATAATCCGTGGTTTCATGTGCAGCAACCAGCTCTATCACCCCAGCTGAACATCCAGAAATGTCTCGGGTAGATGCAGAGCCAATATCCACAACTGAATCTAGTTTGTCAGGCTGCTCATCCATTAAAGGAGCTTTAAAATTAATATCAGCTCTAAATGTCATAATTTTACCAGCAGGGACTGCAACACTGCTGTCATCATAAAAAGCACTTTGCAGTGAGTTCTGAGGTATAGGCATATCAGAAGTCTCTATGTTAGAATTAGTTATAGTGTGATACACAACTGAGGGGCCCCCTACCATATCTGTCACATTACTTCCGTACACAACAGAGTTGTATGCTGGATTGGTTACGTCACTCTGGTAACTCACGGCTGGATCTGTCAAGTATTGGGGGTTTTCATTTTCCTCAAAATGTACACGGTAGGGATTCACTTGGTTTTTAATGCTTTGGTGCAAGTTATTTTTATTTGATAACTGTGTGTTCTCATACAATGGAGCACCTGGCCTCTTAGCTTGCTCTTCTGTCACACCTAAGCCAACACAGTTGACTCCACTATCTCTTGACTGGAGGGTGGAAGAGTTTTTAGTCGGAAGTCGACCCTTGTATTCATAGCTAATATCATCCCCTTGGCCATAGTAGCTGTACATTCTTTGGGCTCGTCGCCGTGATCTATGGGATTTTCTTTTATGTGGATGATTAGGTGGCCCATAGATTCTGTCCCTTGCTTCATGCCCCTCAACTCTGTAAGTTGTTCTGTCATTCTGTCCATCGTAACGAGGTGTTGAGTGAAGGGGGCCTAATTTAGGCTGCTCTATAAGTTTGGCATAAGTGCTCTCATCACTGAGATGGGCGACGGGGGACAAGGCAGAAACAGAATGATAAACATTAGAATCATGACATGGAGTGACGTCTCCATGATCAATGACATCATATTCTGAAGTCAGGTGCTGTTTCTTTTCATCATCTAATTTATCAAAGTCTGTAGATTTTCTATGATGATGATGATGTTTAGGATTCCTGAAACTTTCATACAGATTATCTGGTCGCAACGGTCTTGGTTTGACGAATTCACTCTCATTTGTTGGGTTTTTATCTTTTAATCTACCAATAGCATTCATCGACATGTAGTCCACATTCTGCTGGTTGAGTGGCACAGGAGGTCTTTTAGCACTGAGGTAGCGCTGGTCATTTATGGCAGTTGGTCGCGCACCTGTTGGTGGTAGGGTTGTGACTTTAGAAGATTGGAGAACTGCAGACACTTTGGTGGTTTGATGGGTGACCACTGTGACCCAGGACTCAGTTCGTTTCTGCTTCTCAAGCTGTTGCTGGTACCAAAGCCATTCCGGGGGAGGGAACTGAGCAGAAAAAGTTGCATACTCTTTATCCTTGGGTTCCTTCCCCTCACTGGTAGCATCAGAATTGGATGTCACTGAAGGTAACACAAGTGGGTGAAAAACAGGTGGAGGGGGTGGTGG